TGCGCAGTTTTATTGTGTGTCCACGGAAATGAGGCGAGAGGTGCTGCTGATATATGTCCTCAAATCTCAATCCTTTCTCAAAGTCGTGTATTATATTGTAAATTACCATAAAATACCCCACTTTGCTGCTTGTTACACAGAAGGAATAAATTTAAGCCTTCCAGTCCTTCTATGTAAGAGCAGTTTTGTAGACTTCTTACTAGCTTTCTTGCATAGATGCTACATTTTTTCGAGACATTTTCTGTTTTGTGCGAGCCATGGCCGCCACGCCTGTATGCCATATTCGAAGGTGCCGTACACTTTGCCAAAGGGATCTTTGTCGAAAGCTACAAACGCCCTTCCGATAGCTTGCGGCACTGCCTTGGCTTTGTTTGCAGCCTTGACACATTGTAACTATGACTTCAGATTGCTCTATATCCAAATGCCGAGGTCCTTCTGTGAAGATTTTACTGGAATTTGAGTTTTGTTCAGGTAAAGGGTAATTCGTCGGACGCAGGTAGAAGACGACACAGTCTTGCACAGTTAAATCTAGGAGCCATGTTTCGGACCACATTTTTAGTCTGCACAAATTATTTTACATAGCTTCTTGGTCACCGGGACGCTTAAAGACCTGCCAGAGCTTCACCTCGTCGGCAAAGATGATCTTACCGCAGTGCAGTTCTTGAAGGCTGTCATTAACATATGGGATGAAGAGTAAAGGACCGAGAACAAAGCCCTGAGCAACACCACTAACTGCGTTCACCCAGTCTGATCTACCCTCCCCGATGCGAATGCGCTGCTTTCGATCAACCAAACGTGTCCTAATGCAGTTCAGATGTTTTCCCCTGATAACAAGGACGCTCAGTTTACGTAAAAGACGTTGATGGGGCAGGCTGTCAAATGCTTTGTAGAAATCGATGTGCACTATGTCTACTTTGAAGCCCTCTTCTAAAGCACTTATCCAGACCTCAAGGCAAGTCAGCAAATTTGAACGACAGGAGCGCACTCGCCGAAAGCCACGCTGAAAAGACATCATTTTCATGGCAAAATCCTAGTATGACCTGCTTTAAAAGGACTTCCTTCGTTTTGCAGGAAAGGCAATTCAAACTTAAAGGCCCACAACTGTTTGCTGCCCTCTTGCCTCCTCCCTTATGTAACCATTTACAACCGTGCGCGAGGACTGACCAGACAGATTTTCGAGACGCACGAACCACGGTGACGGCTGGGAAGTTACAGCAATTCTGCCTTTAAAGATGTTTTATGAACCCTAAAGGCAACACCGACCCAGGCGACGATGTCGGTTTTACTCTGTCTAACATGGACCTGACTTATTTGCAGCCGTCCCCTTCCTCAAACTGTCGGCCATCAATTCATCGGAGTGTCTTCTCCTGAGAAGACGACGTTTTCGGCAAGGCATATCCAAATTAACCTTCTCTTTCGTTTCAACTCAATGAGGTGAAGGGACCAAAATACGCCGTCCATATACAGTCGTGCCCAAAAAACGCGCAATTCAAAACACCCATTTTCAATGGTTTTTGAGTCGCTGTGAGTACTGGGCTCAGACTCAGATGCGGGCAACAAATGATATGGTATCCCGACGTTGGTATGCAGTTAGCTTGGCAAAGATATTGACCAGCCAGATTGGCCGGTTGAGTGGGTGACAGTAATTATACCGAAACCAATAGAGCCGACGGGTCAGATCACGTTTTCTTTCCAATCAATTACTTATAACGGCAGAGAATTTGAAACATTTAAACCCAGACTCACTCTGTAGCCCAGATCGAGGATGCAAGCAACGGTATCTGGCCATGATTGCAGCCCTCAACCCCAGAGGCGACAGCACCAGAGTCAAAAAGTCAATACGAAAAACCTCTACGGTTGAGAGATAAGCGGAATCCCGATATTCTAGAGCATCTTATTTCGAAAATAGACTATACTTTTAGAATATTGCCATGAGATCAGCTCAGATCCGAACCAGAGACATGCCTGCAAGATAATTTGTTATTGGCCATGATGTCCGGGTCCTGATTCACCTGCTATGGACCCACAGATCCAAATCCTAATATTCATATCGGGCGCGGAGTCTCGGAGAAACAACGAATCTGCGCCACTTTTAATGCAACACAACTGTTTAAGCGGAGTAAGCAAATTACGTTTTACAGACAAAGTTTATGACATCGAAAAAAGTGAGTACAGTTAACGTAAAATCAAAGCTGTTTGTACAAACTTTAGGACATCTACGTTCCCTTGACTGGTCCATTTCCACGAACCAAACGCCTCGCCTGACGGCTGGGAGACTTCCAGGGTTGAGCCGGCCGAATATAAATCGGAATCTTCAAAATGGAAGTGAGAAAGTAGTCAGCGGTTAATCGCAGCCGTTGGGTGAGAGGATAAAAAATGAGAAACGCTAAACGTTACTTACACGGGTTCCGACGGAACGCAAATAGCTGGCTTGATCGCGGAGATTGACTTGATGGCGGAATGAATTCCATAACTGAGACGGATGAGAAAAGTGGGGAATCTTTGCCATAAACGAGAGAAAAACAAAAAATATCTATGCTCAGCCAGAGTAAAACAACACAATTACGCAGACAAGTACCATAAAAACGCATAAATAATTATAGATGAGGACTTGTAAGGTACTAACTAAGCTACACACTGGGCAAAAGTTCTAACGAGAGTACTACCGTTGCGAACGATGACTGTCCCTTTGTTCCCGATCGATAACTCGCGCGTGGGTAAGGTTTGTTTTCGACAAAATAAATTAGTTCTTAGATAATAAATGATACTTTATGCATCGAAATATGCCTCCTTTTAAAGATCTATTAGTCCTTTAAGGCAACACAACTTGAGGGCCTGTTGGGTAGAAGCTTTGCGAGCTACGAGAGTTTTCATACAGAGTTGATGGCTTTACACGAAATCCATGCGGTATTGATGGCAGATTTATCGAGGGGTGTTAAGGCTAACAAGGATAACCCTAACAGCTACGATCTTCCAGGCCATGTTCCATAGGACATGAGAGAAGTCATTGGAAGGCCAGATTGATAGGAACAGTATATTCTGTACAGCGGGGTTGAAGAATAAGTCCTAGGAGATATAAATCAGACTAGTATATGTCTGCACCCGAGCGGGACAGTGTCCAAAGTCATGTCTGGTGGCAGACCGCCTAGAAGGTGATTGGTT